CTCTACCCCTCTTCAGAGAGAGGGGCAGAGGAGGAAAAAGAGACTTATGAGTTTAGAAGGAACTAAACTACTTTAATGAAATATTAATAATAAAATAAAAAAGAAATAATGAAATATATACAAAACCGTATCAAGCTCCCGAGATGACAATCACGACACCGGCTGGCACTGGGGCAGTCCCAGGCTGGACTCAGTGACGGACGGGAACTGGATTCCAGATCTGCATTCAGGGTCGGGATCACAGGCAGATGAACAGAGTCCTCCTCAGATGTCGGCCATTGAAGGAAGAGCAAGCTGACCCTTTGATCCCTCAGCCTTTATACTGAGCATGAGGCAGATGGGATGGAATACCCTGTTGGTCAGTTTTGGGTCACCTGTCCTGTCCGCTCCTCCTTGCAGGTGGGACCCCACTATGCTTTTCTGCTTCCGACCCTCCAACGGAGCAAATAACAAAGTTGGTTGGCCTTGGTTGTTATAGCAATAAGTATAAGCAAGGTCCTCTCTGCATACCATGGCTGGGCATCAGCTATAAACATAGGTCTTATCACTCTGAGAGAGTGAACATTGTCTGCACAATATGCTGTTAATTTCAGTAGTTAGAGGCCCAGCTAAGAAGCGAAGTTACTGAAGAAAATTGGTTCTGTTTTACCTCAAACCAGGACAGGTACTTATAAGCAAAAAATGTGATGCGTCAAATTGTAAGTGTACTTTAGATGTAATTAAAAAAAAAATCTTGTACTGAATAGGTCTTACAGGCCTGAGAAAGATTTTGTATTTCTGAGTTCTTCTTTGAATTTTTAAATTACAGGGTCAGCAGTGAAACAATAGTAATCCTGGTCTTTGTGGCTTTGCACGCTGCAGGAAATCCTTCACTTTGTCTCAAGTACGCAGTTGCTCTTAGTAACTTCAAGTGGCTTTGGAAACATTTTTCATTTTCTTATACACTCACTTCATTTAAAAAATTCAGTACCAGGCTGGAAGGATTTCTGCTTCTCCAATTCAGAAATATTTCTTCTGCAAAAAACACCCTACAAGCGAGGAAGTGGAGACTTTACCAATAAGCATGTGTTTAAAGTAAAACTTGTGGTTCCTTCTCTCTTTGTTGGGTACCGCCTATGTGGGGGGATACAGTGCTGCCTCCATCGCCTTGAAGCCATTCAGCATTACACCGTCCTTCCCGAACCATGTAATCTCTGGTTAAAAAAAACCCAAACAACAGCTCGAAAACTACCACCTAATCTAATAAATGCTTCCTCTAGCCCCTTGCTAAAGATGCCTTTAATGATAATTAAGCAGCTGCTTAATTAGCCAATATTGGCTGGTAAAACCCAGCAGCAAGGAAAGGTTTTATCTCTCTTCCTTCCCCAGGAGACGTGGGCTGTAGCTTGGGGTGGGTGCATCCCTTGGTGTCCTGGGCACCTTTCCTGTAGTCCCCATTCAGCTGACGCTGGTGGCTGTGGATGAGTCTGGGTGATTTTGGGAAGGAGCGGGAGTGCAGCAAGGGGACAGCTTGTCCCCGTTTCTAGTGGTGCGTTTGTGATTTCAGATGCTTGGCAGCCTGCGGCCCAGTATGGAAAATGGGCATTGTTTAAATGTCACTAGGAAGGTGAAGTTTCTATATATTCCTTCTGCAGAGGATGCTTAGTAATGTGCCTACAGATGGGCTCTTGAAAAGTCATTCTCCCAGTCTGGAGCTGGAGGGAAACTTTTGGCCTGGGGCTGGGGAAGAGATTGGAGCAGGGACTGAGAGCTCCGCTCCCCCTGCCAAGAGCCAGGTGAGGAAAGCCAGCCTGGATACCTTCAGGAGCCAAAGTGCTTTCTCAACCAGCTTTTATTTTGACAGAGGAGCGTGGCTCAAGGTTGCTCCTGCCTGTCTGCTCCAGCACTGAGCTAATTTCCTCCCATTGTCTTTGGGGAAGCACAACTGCTGCAGAGGGGAGGTGGCAGTGGTGATGACAGTCTCCTGGAAGACCCTCCGCCGCTCCCTTCCCCGGTGATCCTTTCTAGAGATGTCCCACCGAGACTCCCATTTCTCAACTGAATTTCTTCGTGGCAGAGGAGTTCTTATCACTTCCTCATGGAGGTAACTAATGCTGAAATCATTCCTCCTCTTGGCAGAGGTGGTCAAAGAGTGATAAAACAGAGCCAAAGGAGCCTAGAAGAGGCACTGGGCTGTCCTCCCTAAATTCCTGGAGCCAGCACCACCTCTTGCCTTTCCTCCTCCCTTCCTAATCTTTAAGCCCATCTCTCTGAAAATTCAGAATAAGTCCCCTGGTTATTTCTCCTAATCTGGCATTTAAAATCTCAGGCAATAAAGCTTTCACCACTTCCCTTAGGGAGACAATTTTCCAGCCTACAGTTCTCCATTCAAAAGCTTTCCACCTTGATTCTTAGCTTAAAGGTG